CCAGATGCCATGATCTTAGTTTTCTGAATGTTGAGCTTTAAGCTAACACTTTTCACTCTCCTCTTTCACTTTCATCAAGAGGCTTTTTAGTTCATATTCACTCTCTGCCATAGGGTGGTGTCATCTGCATATCTGAGGTTATTGATATTTCTCCTGGCAATCTTGATTCCAGCTTGTGCTTCTTCCAGCCCAGTGTTTCTCATGATGTACTCTGCATATAAGTTAAATAAGCAGGGTGACAATATACAGCCTTGACGTACTCCTTTTTCCTATTTGGAACCAGTCTGTTGTTCCATGTCCAGTTCTAACTGTTGCTTCCTGACCTACATACAGGTTTCTCAAGAGGCAGGTCAGGTGGTCTGGTATTCCCATCTCTTTCAGAATTTTCCACAGTTTATTGTGATCCACAGAGTCGAAGGCTTTGGTGTAGTCAATAAATAGAGATCTCTTCAAGAAAATTAGAGATACCAAGGGAACATTTCACGCAAAGATAGGTTTGATGAAGGACAGAAATTGTATGGACCTAACAGAAGCGGAAGATATTAAGAAGAGGTGGCAAGAATACACAGAAGAACCATACAAAAAAGATCTTCACTACCCAGATAACCACAATGGTGTGATCACTCACCTAGAGCCAGACGTCCTGGAATGTGAAGTCAAGTGGGCCTTAGAAAGCATCACTATGAACAAAGCTAGTGGAGGTTATGGAATTCCAGTTGAGCTATTTCACATCCTGAAAGATGATGCTGTGAAAGTGCTGCACTCAATATGCCAGCAAATTTGGAAGTGGCCACAGGACTGGAAAAGGTCAGTTTTCATTCCAGTCCCTAAGAAAGGCAATCCCAAAGAATGCTCAAACTACCGCACAATTGCACTCAGCTTCAGCTCAGATACATTTCACTGAGAAAAATTTACCTTTCACCCTTGATGTGTTTCATGTCTTCGCTATGATTCTGCCTCTTAGGCCCTTCAGTGACCCACCTCACATCCCTTCAGCTCAGTTCCACCTCTGCTCCTTGGGGACAATATTCCCACTTAATGCCACTCATCTCACTACCCAGACCCATGGGCACCCTTTCGTGTGTAACCTAACAGCCTCCACAGCCCACTTGTCAAGGACATGTAAGTCCATCTGAGAGATGAAAGAAACTGTAGAAACCACTTTGTCTGATGTCTTAACTTTACAAATGAGGAAACCGAGGCTCGGGTATTTAACTGACCTGTGAGTTGGCAGTAGAATGGAGACCAAAGTCCAGAACTCCAGAGAACATGGGCCAACATCTGCGTCCAAATCTGAGAACATTAAGCCATGAAAGTGTCAACATCTTTTACTAAAATACACAGAGTTATTTACTACAAAACACAAATGTCCCTAAGTCTTGTCATCCAAGCAGTTGTTAACTGTCTTTAAGATAAAAGAGTAGTTGGTTTGTCTAATAAACATGAGATGGTAAAGAATCTGCCTGTAATGCGGGTGACCCAGGTTCTATCCCTGGGTCAGGAAGATACTCTGAAGAAGGGAATGGCACCTCTACTTCAGTACTCTTGCCTGGAGAATTCTATGGACCGGAAAGTCTGGTGTGCTACAGTCCATGGAGTCGCAAAGAGTTGGACATCGACTCATGAGGGAAGGGCTTCTAAAACCATCATCACAGGATTTCCATTGCAAAATTGAAAGCTTTATTTAGCACAGAACTTCATCCCTTCTCTAGAAATCTAGACCTTTTGAAATGAACTTTGCAGAGTCCCTGTGCTATTTTGGAGACAGTATATTCCACATGCACAGACGTCAAAGGCAAAAACTACCCAGGATCATATTAAACCAATGCAGCTTCAACCAGGATTCCAGCTGGAGTCTGAAAAACAAGAGCCATGTAGTTAAAATGACTCTACCAGATATTAAGGCATGGAACATGCCGTAACGATTAAAAGATTATATTTCTGGTCCAGTTATTTTAAAAGACTGAGCAATGGAACAGAATGGAGAATTTAAAAACAGACCCAGACTCACACCAAACTGAGTTGTGATAGAAGTGGCATTGCACATGAACAGAGGAAACATGGATCATGTTCAGTAGTGTTGGCGAAATGAGATCATTGTAATGGAAAGGTGCAATTATAGCCCTCTTTCACTTTACACGGAAAAATAAATTCAGATGGCTTCAAAACCTTTGTATATGTACCTAGAGAGTATCCTGCTAAGTAAAGTAAATCAGACAGAGAAAGACAAATATCACAGAACAACATGTACGTGGAATAATGACATAATAAATGAAACAAATGTACTTATTTACAAAAAAAAAAGAAACAGACTCACAGACATAGAAAACAAACTGATGGTTACCAATGGGGAAAGTGGGGGAGTGATAAATTGGGCATCTGGGATTAAAAGTATACACTACTGAATATAAAATAAACAACCAACCAGGACAGGAAACTATATTCAACATCTTTTAACAAACTATAAGGGAAAATAATATGAAAAAAGAATAGATTTATGTGTGTGTAATTGAATCACTTTGCTATACACCTGAAACTAACAACATTGTAAATCAACTGTACTTCAATTTTTAAAAATTTAAAACCAGTATTAAACAAGTAAAGTGAGGAGGGGAAAGGAGGAGACTAACTTTATGATTCTGGGATTAAGAAAGATTTTTTTTAAGTATGTCAGAAAAAGCAATACCTGTAAAGGGGGGAAATGGAAAGATCTGATTACACCAAAATTAAAGATTTCTGCTGTGTTAAATACACTACGAGTGAGTGATAGTTGCTTAGTCGTGTCTGACTCTTTGTGACCCCATGGACTATAGCCTGCCAGGCTCCTTTGTCCATGACATTCTCCAGGCACAAATACTGGAGTGGGTTGCTATTTCAAATACACTATAGACAAAGTTAAAAAATAGGTGACAGATGGAGAGAAGATATTTCCAATGTATACAATCAAGAAAAAGATTAATACACACAATATTTAAGAAACTCTTATAAATCAGCAAAAACAAAAAGACATCTAATAGAAAAATGTACAACAGCTATAAAGGCTCAACTTCCTGAGTAGGAATGGGATGACTGATTTGAAATATATTTGTCTTCACTGGTAACCAGAGAATGCCAAAATACAGGCATCAATTTAGAACCACACAGACAAAAAATAAATATTCAGATAATAGCCAATGTCAGCAAGCATGATAGGAAATTATTACTCTCACTAATGTGTCACTGACTCTGCAAATATTTACAACAATCATTTTGCTGAGCAATCTAGCAGTATGTTGTAAAATTGTATTAGCACGCACCCTTTAACACAGGAATTTCCAGATACATACCTCCAGAGAACTCAATAAAGACAATGTGTAAAGATTGTTAGATAGGGACTTCTCAGAAGGTCCAGTGATTAAGATTTCACCTTGCACTGTGGGGGCTGTGGGTTCGACCCCTCATTGTGGAGCTAAGACTCCACATACCTCAAGACCAGAAAACCAAAACAAACACGACTGCATAACAAATTCCGTAAAGACTTAAAAAAGAGTTTGTTAGAATAGCAAAATAAGGGGGAAATATTTTCCAAATGCTGTTTTGGGACCTATTTCTATTCAGAGAGGGGTTTCACAGGTGGCTCCGTGGTAAAAGAATCTCCCTGCCTGTGCGGGCGACAAGGGTCTGATCCCTGGGTCAGTAAGATCCCTTGGCGAAGGAAATGGCAGCCGGTTCGAGTCTTCTTGCCTGGGAAATCCCACGGACAGAGGAACCTGGCGGGCTACAGTCCATGGGGTCGCAGAGTTGGACATGACTTAGCAACTAAACAACAGTAACAACTATTCAGAGGTCAAGAAATGATTCATTACCAAGAACGGAACTGGAAAACAATGTTGAGAAAAAAATATCTAAGTTCAACCCAGTGTCTAATACAAATTATATTAAGATCCAGTTCAGAGCATATGCAAAACACATATTTTTTATAGATATCCATATATATCCATGGAAGAAAACTGACCATTAGGCTGACGGGAATCAGCACCTTATGAGAGCCAATGCAGTTGAAAGACAAAGGGGAACAATGGAAAGGTTTCTGATTAGAATAAATCTTCTAATGGACACAGACCAAGGAGCAGCATTATTACAATTTGGGGTGCTTAGAGATCAAAAGTTACAAAGAGTAAAGAGAACAGCTGAAAATGGGGCAGGAAAGAGAAAACAGATGATCCGTCTTACGTTGATGGACACTGAGAGCAGACAAAGCGGTTAACCTCAAATCCACTGAAGTCAGAAATTTGTCTGGAGGAGGGGCAACCCCCCTGGATAGCCTTTCATCCTTTTCATCGTCAGGGGTAATTGAGTGTTAATTCCGCTGACCTTATTTGCTGCAGCTTCTCCATCCCCGGAGCGTCCCTGGCTGTCAGACAGCAGGCTTTACAGAGCTGTCGACTTAATGTTTTTCTTTTGACTGAATTTTTTACCTGAGGCATTTCAATCCTGTAACTTCAGCAATCAATTTAGGCCCCAAAGCAGCACAGGCTTCAGCCCCCTCGAAGCAGGTATTTGCATGGGAGCTAAGAGCTTAAGCACCAGGGAATGGGTTCTGTCCAAACAGACCTGAGAAGTAGGAGAAGTAGGACCTTATGCTAAATCACCACCCAGCCAGCTGACTAGTCTCAGCAGAATTACGCTGTGTGTAGGGGGCTGGGGAGGGATGTTGGTGGGTGGGTGGGAGATGACTGGTTAAAGTTTGTACTCTTTTTTTTTTTTTAATTGAAGGGTAATTGCTTTACAATGTGTTAGCTTCTGCTGTATAACAATGTGAATCAGCTCTAAGTTTTATGCTTTTTAAAGTTGCCAGCTATTTCTAATGTGTTGGTTTCAATGATCCTAAGCCAACGTTTTAAAAGTCAACATGAAATTCCAATAGCTAGGTGTGTCAAATAAAGAGAAATTGTTTGCAGTATAACTTGAACAGAATTATACTAAGAAAATCAAAATTTTGGATTTTTTATCTTTTTTAGACAACTCTGTATCTTCAAACACTAGAATGACAAAGGGCACAAGTTAGGCACGGACTGCCAAGAAATAGAACGCCAGCTCCACTGAGGACTTGTCATTATTTATTTTAAAAGATTCTTAACCTCTAAAATGACATAGAGCCATTTTCTACTGATTACAAGGAATTCTTGCTATGGAATAAGACATTTGTGGGGATCTTGCAAGCCAAGTAGTAGATCGTTTATTAAGTCCAGATCTTTCACCCAAGAGAGAAGCTGCTACAGTCATTCCATTATTTGGGAAGGAGGAAGCCAGACTCCAGCTCAAAGCTTCCTGTGTCCTTTCAGCTACCCTACAGAATAACGATCTAGCCTAAACAACAAAGCCTAGCAAGACTGACATCCAAAGCATCTCAGATCTGGATACTTCTGTGGGTATTTGGAAAGAGGGCAGTTCTCCTCTCAGCTCTACCACAGGAAAGAAGACTAGCATTCTCAGCTAGCCCCTGGGGTGACAGTCAATATTCCTAACTCCACCCAACAGATGGCACAACTTGATCCCCTAAAAGTCGAATGAAAATAATCGTACTGATTCCATTACCCTGCATGTCAGTATTGAGAAAAACAGTCATTCCTTAGTAAGAAGCAATGCATCCCTCTACAGGAGAGGAGGGAGAAGAGAAGGGTAAAATAAAACAAGACCAAACAAACCCACCACCACCAACAATAAATTGAGTCAAGGATAAGTTTGCCTGAAAACCAAAGCTAGCAAATTTCAGCCTATCATATTGAGATGTTACTGAAGATGATACAGAGAAATAAAGGCACGTGTTCTGTGAGCTACAAACATAAGATGATAAGGGATCATCTAATTTTGCCCCGCTTATACAAGGATTCATGGGAAGAGAATCCAGGAGATCCAAAGATGCTCCTGGTAGAAGGTCACCTTTAGGGGTGCACACAGCCTCCTGCCCCCAGGGCTGTAGTGTCACTTAGAAGAAACCACTCCTGGACACGTTGTCCCAGCATCTTTTCTCCAAGCTCCCCTCCATCCAGGAGCTCCCCCTGGCCCCCAGCGGCTGGAAGAGAAGCCGCCTCTCCTTCCCAAGAGATCAATGCAGAGCACTCCCTGGGACAGAAGAAGATTGTCTGAGATTTCAATAGTCACTGCAGATGCAGGCAGAGAGTCGGGTGGAGGATGAGCGAGCAGAGGTCCAAGGCGTCTGGACCTTACTGTGCAGGTAACTCACCTTGGGGTGGGGCGGTGTTCATTCCAGCAGGGCTGAGGCAGAATTGGGGAGAGCTAGTTTCTAATCAGCTCCCCGGTGTGGACAGTGCTGAGGGTCTGACCTCACTCCGAGTGACCAAGTTTACAGTAATGATGGAAAAACTCAAAGAAGGTGGCAGATGCCAAGACACCTCTAATGTGATGAAGTGATGGAGGAAGATGTTATAAAGTGAACACCTGCAAACCTCCTTGCCTCGGAAGGACTGTGTTCTTAGAGATGCTCACAATGGGTTGGATGCCTTTCTCTTTTCCCCATAGCCCTGCCCCATGCTGGGGTACCCAGGTCTGGAAGTGGCATCACCACCCAAGCCCTTGAGACAGACAACTCAGATTTATTCTCCACACCTCGTTTTTCTCAACTCCACACTAGACTTACTATTTTCACCACTGAGTTTGGGTGATCTGTTCCTTGGCACAGAAAATTGTAAAAGGTCCTTAATGTATGTCAGGCACTGTGTTAGGTATTGGGACACTTCTCTTCGTGGAGTTTAAACCTTGCTGACCCAGCACTCTCTGTGCAGGTAAGCAAACTCTGGTCTCCCTGATTTTGCTATGCAAATGGAAATATAGAACATATTCATAGAAATAGCAGTATACCAATATAAGAATATACTGGTAAGTGCTAGAGGTTTGAAGAGCAAACAGAATTGAGTAGAAGAAGAGAACTCTTGGGACTTGTACAGTCAGAGAAAGTCAGCAAGGAACCAGGAACTGGGCTGAATGGGCAGGATTGGTGTGGGGACGGGTGCTGGGAAGAGCAAGCATTTTCATCCTGAGCCTGGTGGGTATCATGGGCTGGTTGGGGAGAGAGTTCCCACCCAAGGAAGTGTATAAGTGAGACGACTGGAAAAACCAATAGGAGGCGGAAGGTAGAAGGTCTTGAGGTCCCAGGAAAGGTTTGGACCTCATTTTCTAGGCAAGAGGATGGTCCTAAAGATTTATAAACCACAGATGAGCCATGGTGAAAAGTGCAATGTACCAGACAGTAGAAAGAACATGCACTGCATTCATACAGCATGCGGGGGCTCCAATGAGGATATCTTGAAATAATGTTCAAACAGAGAAAGAAGGGTCTTTCACTCTACGTTACCCCCTCTCTCCTGCCCCAGTCCTTCCAAAATGTCATTTCCTGCCTCTCCTGTCTGTTTCAACATTTTCTTTCTTTTTTCTAAGATTTGATTTGATTTATTTGTTTTTTTAATTTGGCCAGGTCATGCGGCATGTGGGATCTTAGTTCGCTGACCAGGGATCGAACCTGAGGCCCCTGAGTTGGAAGTATGGTGTCTTACCCACTGAACAGCCAGGGAAGTTCCTGTTTCAGCACTTTCGGGCCTCCAGAGCCATGATGTTCTCTTCCTGACCCACATTCCCTGTGCTGGGCCCAGGGATGGAAATGCTGCCTAGCAGCTGGCAACCCAATGGGTGGGCGCCTGCCATCACAAGCCCCCTGGCAGCTGCTTCCTGGTGATATGAGGGCTTCTCCATTCCTGTTGTTTGTTTTGCCTGTTTGATCCTTCATGCTCTACATGCTAGCATTAGTTCACCAGTGACTGACAAGTTCTATCCTCAAGTGAGCCCTGCCTGTGAAGACAAAGTCAAGTGTCCCTGAAGCAGAAACATTCCTGGCTTCTGGAAGAGATGCTCTGTAGCGACAATTGTGCGGTGCTTTCCTCTCCAAAGCCCTCCGCAAATATTACCTAATCAACCCTCCCCGAATACCTGGAAAGCTGGGAAACATCTATGAACCTGGTTTCAAGAGAGAAGATGGAAAGCTGAAACCCTCCACCAGAAAGGCTCAGCTTGATGCCCAAACTGGCAAGTAAGAACCTGGCCTCCCCCTCACAGAGCCAAGGAAGAGACTCAACACCGAAGTGTTCCACTTGTTTCCAGGGTCACAGGCAGCACCTCCTTGTACATCTCAGTAGAGCATTTGGAAGGCAGTGTATTCATACAGAAGGCAGGGTGTCGAGTGCTGGGTTTTAGAGACTAGTTGTAGGAACTCTCTGTACTCTGAATCCCTCTTCTGTCGAAGGAGCCCTGTTAGTCTGTGATTCCCATCACATAACAACACTAAAACAATTCACGCAAAGACTGCTCAGAAAATGAATTCTAATGAGGTCCTACAATATGGATTATTTTAGCATCTGGGGAAAAAAATCCTAACCAGATGAGTCCTCATCTTCCTTTTTTGCCCAATTTCTGCCTCCTCTGCCACATCCCCACCAACAACAATGTCCATCGTTAACTGTCTGAGCAATGTCCTTGGGATCGCTCTCCCTCTCCCCCACCAAAGCCACTTCAGAAACAGCCTCACTGCCGCCTAGGTTAAAAGAGAGTTAAAGCTAAGTGTAAGCCATCCAGGGGGCCTCTGCATTTCAACAGGGGACACATGCCTACTGAGCTGAAGTCCAGCCTGTGGGGTTCCAGCCACTGGGAACTAACCTGCAGAGGCTCTGGGTGGCGGGACTTTGATACCACACACCTCTGAGTGTGTGTTGTTGTTGTCGTTCAGTCGCTCAGTCGTGTCCGACTCTTTGCAAGCCCATGGACTGCAGCACGCCAGCCTTCCCTGTCCTTCACCATCTCCTGGAGTTTGCTCAAACTCAAGTCCATTGAGTCAGTGATGCCATTCAACCACCCCAGGCTCTGCCGTCCCCTTCTCTTCCTGTCCTCAATCTTTCCCAGCATCAGGGTCTTTTCCAATGACTTGGTTGTTTGCATCAGGTAGCCAAAGTATTGGAGCTCCTGCATCAGTCCTTCCAATGAATATTCAGGGTTAATTTCCATTAGGATTGACTGGTTTGAACTCCTTGCTCTCCAAGGGACTCTCAAGAGTCTTCTCTAGCACCACAGATTGAAAGCTCAGCCTTCTTTATGATCCAACTCTCACATTTGTTTATGACTACTGGAAAAACCATAGCTTTGACTAGATGGACCTTTGTCTACAAAGTGCTGTCTCTGTTTTTTAATATGCTGTCTAGGTTTGTCATAGTTTTTCTTCCAAGGAGCAAGTGTCTTTTAATCTCACAGCTGCAGTCACCATCCACAGGGATTTGGGAGCCCAAGAAAATAAAGTCTGTCAATGTTTCCATTTTTTCCCCAGCTACTTGAGTGCTTAGTTGGATCCAAGCCCTGCTGAAAAAGAAGCCTGGTGCTGTGGTTAAGAGCATGGCCCCCTGTGCATCCTACCACCGAGACACTGCTTCATCTCTCTGTGCCTGTTTCTTCTCAAAAATGGTAATAGTAACTTATCCCTTGAATGTGCTATAATGGTGCCATAAATTAATGCACATACAGTGCGTAGGATTGTGCCAGCACTAATAAACATCAAAATATAGCTTGTTTTTTTTTTTAAAGACTTTTTTGATGCAGACCACTTTTTAAATTCTTTATTGAAATTGTTACAGTATTACTTCTGTTCTATGTTTTGGCCACTGGGCATATGGAATCTTAGCTCCCCAACCAGGGATCGAACCTGCACCCCCTGCATTGGAAGGAAGACTGGTGGGGAAGTCTCCAGCTTGTATTATGGTAGTCACTCTACTTGCAGTAACAAGTGTGTATTACACAGTTTGGGCATGGGCACCAGTTCCAGTCCCACTTACAGGCACAAACAGAGCACAGGCGTGAGCACACAGCCCGGTCACACGGTTGGTCAGCAGTAGAGCTGGGCTCTCACCAGGTAGCAGGCCCAGTCCTTACCCCACACTGTGCTGCCCCAGCCTCACCATGCGCCACGGCCCTGGGAGACGTGGGAGACAGGCACCAGGCAGCCACTTGGGCTGAGTAAGCGGAACCTGAGTTCAAGCCATGCCTCATCTCCAGCAAATACACCAAGGAAGCTCTCTCTTCCTCCCATCTTGGCATCTCCAACTTTAACACAGACATAAGCCACCACTGCAGGTAGCCAGAAGATCAAATAACTGTGCAAGGGGTTTTGAAAATTCTCAAGAGCTCTCTTTTGAAATGTAAGGGATATTTATGATCCACTGCAGGACGAGAGGGTTGGAAGGCCATGGAGGTCACTTGTGCTGCCGGGGGTCCTTGTTCATGGAGGCAAACTGCTGTTAAGACAAACCTGGTCGGAGCTGGGCTGCAGTCTGGTGCCCGGGATCCACCCCACACTGCAAATCCTACTGTGGGTCCCAGAGTGCAGGACCGCCCCGGGCCCTGTAAACCAAGAACCTACCCATTGCAGACGCCTGTGAGGCTGCCCTTCACTTCCTCCCAAGAGCTCCTCCCAGGCCAGGCACCCCCTGGGGAGGCCCTTGGACTGTGGCCCCTAGAGGTCCCAAAGGGGTCAACATGAGAGGCAGGCCCTGCAGGGTCTGCAGGCCCCTGTGTCCTTGGCCCCCAGCAAAGGGCTCGATCGGCCCTGCTGCACCATCTGTTTTAGGCCAGATGCACACTGAGGTCCTCAAGGCACATGGACTGTCCAGGTCAGCACCCAGCTGTGGGGTCTGGAGAGAATGTACCAACTGGGCCTTTGGAGAAATTCACTCGATTCTTAGTTACCCAACGTTCTCAGTGTGCAGACTTTTAAATTCCCAAAGGCAAGTGACCCACACTGCTATGGGATGTTAAGAGTATGCAAACGCATTTTCAAATGACTGCATTCTTTGATGGCAGCAAATTTGCTTTCACAGCTAATCGGAAGAATCCCTTTTAAAAATCGTTACTTTTTTATCCTGTGTTTTGGTTAACAAAAGCCACCAACCCCGTCTCCTGAATGAGAACAAAGGACAAAGGGCAGCCCTGAGAAGACAGTATCCAGCCTGAAGTCGGGGTCCCTCCTCCACCTGCAGCTGCCCCAGGGTGTGACGAGCTAAGGCGACAGGGTCCAGGGGTTGATGACTTTGCAGCTCCCAGCTGCCCTGGGGTCTTCACACCATCAAGCTGTTCACTGGCTCCTCTGAATGCTATTTCCTGTGTTCACAGCTTGATTTTG